TTCCAAGGTCCATATCACTAGAACAATGAAGTAGGTGACTTTTGAAGTCTTTACCTGACCACCTGCTGAAGGGCTGCCAACAGGGATACTGATTTATGTGCAGACCTTCTAGAGCACACAGAGCTTCCTCTGCTCTTCCTCTGCTTCCATCTAGGCCTCTCATAGAGTTCCAGAACCTCCCCTCCAATGATGGCAAATGAAGTCATGTACTCTTAGGGTCCCTTCAGAGGGATGAAAGGGCTGAGTCAGGAGTAGGGTTCTATACTGAAGTGATTCAACATCAGACTGCAGGGCCAAGAGTGGTTCAGATGGATTATTTTGAGAACCTCTGGAGATAATGCTTCATCAGATCATACTCTTCTTGTATTTCCCAGGATCCCTAGGTTAAGAGGAGGAGAGGCTGAAATGCTCCTCTGCTGAATTATGCCTAAGGGCACAGAGTTGTCAGTTAGGGTACACCTGAAATAATAGCTATCCTCCCATTTGTGGAGTCCTTCTACATACGTCCTCAAGTTCTCACCTCCACTACTACCAGAGTTCTTATCTTGTCACCTTTCAGATCTTCAGTGGAGAGATATTACTGTCTCACAGGATTCTATGGATAAATGGGGCTCTCTTGACTAGAAACCCACTTGAGCTAGAATGAAAAGCACGTTGCTAGATTACTGTGGGGTCTCTATATTGGAGGAGAGATGGTCCCTCCTTATCCTCAAATTTTTTTAGTTCCTTTTGTAGTCTATTCTCTCCATATGAAGATCCTCAGGCTAAGACTTTGACTTTCCAGTCTTCTGCAATAGAAGAGAGTGAAGGCTAGTTAGACACTTCATTTCACCAGATGGCCCTGGGAGCAGAGCTGAAAACCGTGATTCCTCTGACTCATTTGAAGGTATTTCACCAGAGTTGAGGTTCCTCTGCTTTCCTTCTGCTCTCATGTATGTACCCATAGTGCCTGTGTCCATCCCTTCCTAGGATCTAGTTCAAGAGTGAGAAGAGATGACAGCAACTGTGCAGCTATAATATTTTGTATCCTCTATCTTGGTCTGTGGCTTCTCCTGTCCACAGTCAGTGTTTCACATCTACCACTTTCAAGCTTTGATCCTTTCATCTACAGAGATGCAGACAATAGAAGAAAGATCTGAGTGCCAGTTTCCTGGGGGCAGATGGAGGTGCTTCCCACACTAGAAGTTGATGTGTATGAGGCATTTAGATTTAGGATCTCTCTTCTATAGTAGGGAGTGCTTTCTCTCCAGCGTATGCTCTTACATAACCCCTAATGGAGCAGCATGGGTCTCTTCCCTCCAATGACCTTGTGAGGAAGATGTAGAAATGCTTTCCTGAAAATATATCTGCCCCCCCTCCAGGAATCCACTGGGAACCTTTTGTCCTTTGTTTACCCTTTGATCACATCAGGATCCCTCACTGACACGGCCTCTGCCCTTCAAAAAAAAAACCCAGGATAGGGCTGGGAAGGTGGCTCAGTGGTAGAGCACTTGCCTTGCATGCCTGAGGCCCTGGGTTCGATTCCTCAGCACCACATAAGCAAAAAGAAAAAAGCCACAAGTGGTGCTGTGGCTCAAGTGGTAGAGCGCTAGCCTTGAGCTGAAGAGCTGAGGGACAGTGCCCAGGCCCAGAGTTCAGGCCCCACGACCGGACCCAAAAAAAAAAAAAAAACCAGGATAAAATAGTTACTCCCAGGGTCCCTTGAGGGAGAGGGTAAGAGTGTGTGATGGTTGAGACATGTTGGACTGACTCCACACATCCCAGGGTTCAAGGCTGACAGTAATGTTACAGGTATGTAATTCTCTGACCTTTCATCTGGGAGTGGGGATTCCTCTTCTTACTAACTGCTCCTGCCTAGACCCCTCATCCAAGGCTTGTCTCTATGATTATTGGTTGCTGAAATAAATGTAGAAGAAGATTGAGTTTATTTCTCTGAAGAGATGAGCCCTACAGCAGGATTGGATTGGCATGATGAGTTTAGTTGGGGTATATGGGCACCTTCTACCTCAGAGAAAATTTTCCTCTGTTCACCCTTTGTATGGCTGCCTTAATTGGATCTCTCAGAGATCTTCTACCTCTCCATTCCAAATATGTTGTATCATCTAAGACCCCCATGGTACCCTTATATTCAAGGAGGGGTGGAGATCATGGCATAATAGTTTATATTTATAAAGCTACTCAGTAGTGCTAAATCATGAGGATGGTTTGAGGGTAACTGGTATAAAAAGTTAGTGAGATCTCACCTCACCCAAAAGAAGATAGGCTCAGTGATGCTCCCTGCCACACCAGTTATATGGAAGTATAAATTAAAAAACTGAGACAAAAAGTTGAAGCATATTCCAAAAGTAACAAAGCAAATAAGGCTGGAGGAATGACTTAAAAGGTTGGGGGACATGCCTAGCCAGTATGAGGCCCTGAGTTTAAAACTCAAGTACCAACTTTAACAACAATAATGATAGTGCTAAGGGTAGGGTGGAAGAATTCTAAGTATACTCACTTGATTCAACGACTTGGTGCGCAGGAAGGTCATCAGCTGAATTATTTCTTTTCATTCTAGCTTGGGTGTTGCTTCCTCTTATATTTTCAAGGTCTCACCTCCTTCATTCCAGGAGGTGAAACCACTCCATTTCTCAGACTTGCAGGTCTCAGAACAAGGCTTGACTCTCAGGGTTCCCTATGACAGGATTATTTACTGACCAGCCGTCTGCCTGTGTAACGGGCTGACACAGGTGTTGCAGCTAGATTACCGAGTGTCCCTCTAACAGGTCTGGATGGCTGGTTCCTACTGCAGCCCTAAGCTCTAACCTAGAACACTTGTGTAGTGTCTGCTTTTCTTACTGCCAAGGAATTCAAACCAAAGATATGCTTCTTAGGGTCATCTAAGGCCAAGTGAGGTCTGGAAGGATGAGAGCATTGAATTGATTTGTTGCCCTCCAATGCAGAGCTAAAAACTGGGGTGTGGTTTTGTTATTTGGGGACCTTTCACCTGAGGGTATCTTCTACTGTCCACCACCTCTTTTCATCTGGACCCATCACAGAGCCTTCACTTCTTCTCTCCAAGGAGCCGAAACCAAGGCCATTACTCCCAGGGTCCTTTACAGGAAAGAATGGATTAGTGGGGGTTAGAGGTGTTGGACTCCTCCTGGGTTCGGGGCTAACTACAGTCAAAGAGCTAGATGATTTTGAGATTCTTCATTTTGGAGGGAGGCTCCTCAGTACACCCTGTTCGTGTTGTTATTGTTCTCCAGAACAGAATAGCTAAGCTGCCAAATTAACTGAAGGGAATAAAATACAGGAAAGATCGCTTTCAGAAGTTACTGCAAAATTGAATTACAAATAACACTTCCTGTTGGGAATTCCTAGAATTTGAGTCTATGACCACTTTCTCCTTTCTTGCTGAGCTTGTTTCCCCCAGATTACATTATTTTTAATTCCTCTTTTAAATAGGTTTCAGTATTATATTTGCATAATCCACATATTACACTTTTAATAATATCCAAGGATATAATCTTCTCGCTTTTTCCCCATCCACGTGTTCACAATCCTGAAATATTCCTTACTGTAAATTTAGTAATTATTTTCATATTGGGGGTTGATTTAGCATAAAAGAAAAGATGCAAGACAGATTCTGAAACTGCTTTATCTTGCATAGCATGGTGATTTCCAGTTCCATCTGTTTCTGTAAATGATAGAATGCCGTATTTTCTGGTTGAATTTCTTTTATTCCATTGCCAAAATATTTCATTCATTTCAGTTACACCTGTAAATCTAGAGTTGGTTTCCAATTGGCCAAATTATATTAGAGATAACCTTTTAAATGTCATTTAAATAATCAAGCAGGATCTCCCAGCTAGATAGAATAGCACCCAGCCTGAAGCTTCTAGGCCTCACTTCATCATGTTTTCATCCTCATCTCTCAGAAACCCTTACAGATAGTGGGATACATCATCTAGTTCTGCTTTCTCTAGCCACATGTACAATAACTTAGAGGTAGAGCCTCTTTCCTCCTATACAGAAACAAAGAAACTGGTCAGATCAATTTTCTATTCTCTCAGGTGTGTCACATTCTGAGGAGCTGGCCCTGCTAAAACTGCAGTTGTTGTTTTTTTTTCCCCCAATCAACTCCCAAAGAAAAAACTGCATTTTCTCAAGTCCTAAAATACCTTGGCTCAGGGCATTGACACTGGGCTGTTTCTCCCTATAGCTACAACTGCTTACCCCCCACTTCTTCCTTCTTTGGAGAAAGTTCTGTTATCCTCCTGACAAGGCTGCTTCCTTCCCTATGTGTAATTATGAGACTGTCCAATCTTTGCTTATTAATATTTCTACCACTAACTGAAGACCATCCCATAGCAGATGTTCAAATGAAGATCTGAAGAATAAATCAGACATACAATTGTGGAAATTATTTATTAAAATTTCATAAACACAAAGGGCAAAAAATCTAAATTGACAAATTTTAATGCCATAGGTAAAACAAGAGAGTAATGGATGCCAAGTATTAGCGTTCAATTATGCTATAATGAAATCTGTTGTACTACTATGTCCTTTCTTCTCACTTCCTAGGACATCCCTACTCTAGTCCCTATTATTTTGTCCCAGGTCATAAAGTAAAATGGGTTAAACAGCCAGACTAACTCCTATCCTCTATTAGTAGCATTAAACATGAGACTACTGTTGTTCCTAACCTTCCATCCTGAACCTAAAAACCTTAGATTAAAAAATACATCTGAAAAATTCCAAAGCAAATGAAGATCACTCTCAAAGACACCCAAACAGAATAGAAAGACAAATATGATTTATACTATGTTGTTCCCAAGTTCCCCTGGAATGTCGCTGTTAAGAAAGCTGTCTTTCCTTTCCAAAAAGAAAATGAAGAATGGGTTTTATTTCACATAGTGCAGGAAAAACTACTGATGTGATCTTCACTAGAATACGAATGAATATTCCCTGACCCTGAACCTCTCCCCTCCACATAATGGCCCTTCCTCCCAGTTACCCTAATGTCGATAATGCCTACGTTGCTCCTCATCTTTCACAGCCTCTTCATAGAGTGCTGAAAAGGTCACAGGATCAATTCCACCAAATTGGGAACAGTGTTGCAGGATTTGCATCTTGCTGGTTTCAGCATGGGCTCTTGGGCCCCACTTGAACTCATAGCATATAGTATCAGTAAGAAGCACGGGCCAATATTCCAAGTACCCTTCCTGAATAAAATCACCCATGACCAGGTTCCAGGGATCCCCAAAGAGGCAGTGCTCTCTCCCAGCATATACCTCTATAATACTCAGTGCCTGCCACACCACCTCTTCCCTGGCATGGTTGCCCTCCATGAAGATGATGGAGAGAACGATTAACAGGAGGCCTGTCTTGGGCAAGCCCTGCACATTCCTCCTCATCCCATCATAAGTGATCCCTGCTGCAAGGCTAAGACCATAGGTGGGGACAGTGTAGTCCACTTCTTCTACATTAATACCAAAGAGCAGCCGCATACACACACAGGTGTTGCTAAAGATGACATGGAAATGTTGATGGTGAATTGGGATTATGTAATTCAACATTTCTGTCTTGGTGACCAACTGCTTCATCCAATATCTGAAGATCAAAAAGGGAACCAATGCCATTTCATCATGCTGCAAAGACACAAAATCTATTGGGGTACCCCGGAAGCTCAGGTTTTCCCATCCCTGGTTTCTGTAAGACTGATTAAACTGGTTATGTAAACTGGATCCCATGACATTGTATACAAAAGAAGATACTTGAACAGATGCCACTGTTGTGCTATCTAGCATCATAGGAGTGGAGGAAGAGGTAGAGAAAGTAGTGTTGGCTTCCTCCATCTCTTCTTCTTCCTGCTTCACCTCCTGCTTCACCTCCTGCTTCACCTCCTTCACCTCCCTCACCTCCTCCTCCTCCTTCTCCTTCTTCACTTCCTTCTCCTCCTTCTCCTCCTTCACCTCCTTCTGAGCCCTGGGGAATAACCCACTCATTAGGCTTGTGGATGCTTCTACAGTGTTCTCCATGACCACAGAAGTAGAAGAGGAGGCTATGGCTGGTTCAACAACCATGCCTAATGACTCTGCTAGGGCCTGAGGGCTTCCCTCAAGCTCAGAGGGCTGGATCTTCTGATTATGAGACATCATGACTTTCCTTCAGGACAGAAGGCAGAGGCTGGACAGTTGCTCAATGATGGAGATTCACAGACCTGGGGAAGAGAGGGAATAGATGAATAGCTCCAGCCTAAGAACTGTCCTCTTGGTGACCCTCACATGGCCTGTCACATGTCTTCTATTTGTTGTTTTGGGACCACAGAGAATCCTATCTCCCTGTTATACTCATTGCCTAAAACCTGATGGAGTTAAGTGCAAAGTTCATCAAGGTATAGGGTGCTAAGCAAGCCTGTGGCTCTGTGTATGCTGACAGGGTGTATAGAGCTAGACAAAGTGAGTTTCCTTGTGTTCTGAGGTAGATGGGGCCTGTGGTGCCAATTCAAAATATACGCCTTGTCCTTAAACCAGCCCTACCTGGGAATTGTCTGCTTGGTCACATAAGGACACTTGCTCAAAGATCTTTACTTTACTTCCTGGTCCCTGAAGCATGTACAATGGGTACTGAGTCAGGCCTCTCTCCCTTGGGCTGCAGCATACAAGGGAAGAATGAATGGAAGAGTGGGCTAGACTCTGTGAGTACCCTAATGTTCTGCAACAAATGACCTTTTCTGTACTTTAGTGCCCCTGAAATGTCCTTTGAATGTCTTAACATTCCCCTCTGCTGGCCTGAAGCAACCTTGTAGAACAAGCATCCAGGTGCTTATAATGGCAAGGCAGTAAGAGGGTCTTACATCTGGCTATACCTGGCCAGGAAAGACAGCAAGATATGCCCAAATTCAATGTAAAATCTGTGGGGGATCAGCCTAGTCCTTCACTGGTTAAATTCAAGGTTGAAAATTTTCCTAGAGGCCATCTTTGTAATGTAAAAATCTTAGTACTGTGAGATGAGCCAGTCTTCTCATGGTCTCTAGGTTTGTTTTCTTCATGCATAAAGGAAGTGCAGATAGAACTTGCTGTACTATGTGTGTACGTATGCATGTATGGCCATACACACCACACATACGTGCACTTGCACATGTGTGCGCACACACGTGCGTGCACATACACACACATGTGTGAGAAAACATGTATGTTGGTCCTAGGTCTTGAACTCAGGGCCTAGATGCTGTCCCTGAGCTTTTTTGCTCAAGGCGAACACAGTTCCACTTCTGGCTTTTGGTGGTTAATGTGAGATAAGTATCTCACGAATGTCCTTGCCCCAGCTGGCTTCAAACCTTGATCCTAAGATTTCAGCCTCCTTATTAACTAGGATGACAGGTATGAGTCACCAGTGTCTAGCTGTCCATGTGTTTAATGGAGGAGGTTCAATCTATCCTTACCTTGATTCCTAGAAAATCCCATACACTTCTTTGCTGATCAGGTGTGGTTCTGTCTGGTCAGATGATTCTTCCCTATATAACTTCTCAACTCCCTGACACCTGAGGGAAAGAAGTGAGGATGAAGCTTATGTGGACACCTCTGCAGGGATTTCTCAAGGCTGCCAGAAGGAGCAGGGTTCAAGGGCCCTTTTTTGTATTCTTATTTCCTCCCCACAAGGCCTGGATTCTTTCCAACTGTACCTGCTGATCCATATCTTACAGACCAAGGTCATCATCTTTCTAACACCGTCAACTCTGAGGAGGAAGCCATGAGTGGCATTTCTTCTCCAGAGCACTATTAGGAACCATCCTAAGAGGAGACTGAGGATGAGGTTTTCTACATCTTTGAGCTTAATCTTCTCTAAGGGCTACGCTGGGCAAAGGTAACACTTCTCACTTCTCAGACCAAGGCTCAACTCTTCCCTGACTCCACGGTTAAGAAGAAGTGAAGGTGCCTTGAATCTAGCTCCTTTTACCTGCTTCTCCCAGTACTAACATTTCAGTGAAGTTCTTTTCTGATCTACAGTTCAATGTCCCAACATTTCTCCCTGAATCTTCTCTTTGACTCCAAGAGGAACTCAACCACTGTCACAAGTTATGTCCTATGCCCTCAGATTGCAGAGTTGGAGAAAGGTTGTGGCTCAGCCTGAATACAAGGGCAAGACTAGACTTCATCTCTACTGGTCATGGGCTCCTAGTCCTGCCTATTATCTCACCTTGACTCCCAACAGGATCTTCCCCCCTTCTGATAGTAAAGGACTGACAATAAGGTCCCTTTGGATTTTTTAAAAAGAAAACAATGCTTTACTTAAAAGAATTAACATTGATGCTTGATGTAACACAGAAACTAAGAAAAAATATCCCCTTGGATTTTGGAGAGATCTTCCACATAAGGACTGTATTTCTTCTGTCTAACTTGTATTTATACCTGGACTCTTTAAACAGCCTTTGTGGGAGTAGAAAGAGTGGAGGAATTGGTAGAGGTGCTGGCCTGATGTGACTAACATAGGGTACAGCACTGACAACACTGGTAGAGCTAGCTAACTTTCAACTGTCCACCTGGGAATGGAAATTCTGTTCACCCTCTGACATCATTTGTGACTCTCTGAATCTCAAACCCACACATCCGAGAATCTCAGAGAAGACTTTGACTTCTCTCCCAGTGTCCCCTGCATTTTTAGGGACATACGGGGAATAAATGAGCTAAATGGTTTGCTGATAAATACCCATGGGTACAGAAAGGACATCAGGGGTCTAGTTAGATTATTGCAGGTCCTTATACCTAAACTGTCTGTAGTTACTCTTTCCACCTGATACTACCACCTGATGCTTCATAAAAGCCAGGACCTCTCATCTACATGGACTTCAGACAAAGGGTAAGGTTCCCGGACATATTGTGGATCTTTGGGGAGTGGTGGACAACCACCTGACCAGTAGTCCCTGGATATAGTTAAAACCAGGGATGAATATGGATGCTTTCTGCTGGAGTCAGGGCTTATTCTGCACACACTCTGCTTCCACCTGCAAATGCACAGAACTTATACTCCTTCCATTAAAGGATTTCAGTCCAAGTTTAAGAACCTCTGAGTACAAGAAGGGATCAGAGAATTATATAAACCAATGGCTGAGGAGATACAAACCCCCAAGTAGAGCTAATCTGTATAGAGATTAATATATATATTTCATATATCTTATATATTCTATAGAATATAGAAAGGGGTGGTAGCTTTCACTAGATCAAAAGGCTCCTGAAGCAGGTTGAAAACAGTGTTGCAGATAAATTGTTTGGGCAAAGTCCAGTGGGGATAGCATAGCACATCCTCTGCTCATTTTATTTTCCCATCTGAACCCCCTCCCAGAAACTTAAAATCTCATCTTCAAGGATCCCAGTGTAAGGCTATTACTGGCAGAGTCCCTAGAAGGGAAAGGAAATAGTGAAGAAAATACAAACACATGTTCATGGATGACAGCAGCAGTGTACTTGGATTAGCAGGGGAACTGACATCTGGGCAGGGCTTCTTCTACCTACCTTCAGGGTATCATCTCCAGCACACTCTGAATTCAGATCTATCCCTTTGGGATATGCTGACTTGTATGGATTCAGTGGCAGAAGAGTATTATCTACTGACTTGTATGGACTCAGTGGCAAAAGAGTGTTGTCTCCTGACTGGAAGCCCACAGCTGAATACAGCTGTGCAGCAAGATTATTGTGGGGCCCTCTGTCAAAGCCAGGATGGCTCCAGTCTCCACTTTAAGCTCTCAAATAGAGCTGTTACAGCACCCATGCTTTTCCTGCTCCAGAAATCTATAGCCAAATTTATGACTTCCAGAATACACTATACCAGAACTAAAAGATAGAGAAGAATGCTGTGTTCACTTGACTAGAAGCCTACCTCTCCTTTGCTGAAAACAGGATGCTCGATCTGAATAAGAGATTTCTGTATCTACCCTCAAGAGTCACATCTACATCTTGCAGAAGTGGAGTGTCTCAGCTATATTACAGAAGAAAATTTAATTCTATGGGTTCCAGGGCAGAAGGGGGGGATTGTCTTGAACAGATGTCCTTATGTACAGGGCTGACAACAGGGGTTCAACTGGATTTTATGGAATCAATTTATCTAGTGGGATTTCCTCTTTCCTCAACCTCTCAGAGGGTCAGGGTCCCTCTTTCAGGGCCCCAGTGCAAGGCTGTTATTCCAAGGGTTCCTAGAGGCAGACAGAGTTACTGCATGAGTGTAGGGAGTAGTCCTGACATGATTATCTCATTTCAGTCTTGAATAGTGATACACCTGGATTATTTGGAGATTCTCCCTGAGTACAGGGCTTCTACTTTGGTCCGTCTTCTCTCACTTGGACTCATAAAATAGTTGAAGCCTTTCCCATTGAAATAACACAGAACAAATCTTTTTTGACTACAGGGCACCTTACACTGAATCAGTGGTTGGTGAAGTGCTTGTGTGGCTGGTCCAAATGCAAGTGGTTCCTCTCTACATTCTAACCAACCATGAAGACCCCTAGTAGAGACCAGTCCCTTCTGCCTCAAGTTCCTGAGATCAACACTGTGTTTCCAAGTGAACCATGTGGTTAGGATGGGTTGCAGAAAGGGTAGACCCTTCACTTAACCATGTCTGAGAACAACGGCAAACATGCATTGTTACGGGATCCTCAACTTAGTATGGGGCTTCCTCTGCTCATCCTCTGTTATAAGAGTCTGTATATCTCACATATATTATATGCAACCTCAATCTCTGCAAATAAATGTGTCATAAAAAATCTTCAACATTGGCAGATAGTCAAGCTGTTGGAGAAAAGCATACATGCTTGTCCTGTTAAGAGTGCTAGCTTCACCTGATGATCCCAGTGTGCTGAATT